AAACCCCATTCTGCAGCTGATGTCAGCCTGCTGCTACTCTGAGTGTCCTCCAGTCTCTGAACCCCACACTGCCCCGAATCATGGATGACGGGCATTCCGCTCTGCTGTGGGAGATTGCTGACAAGCATCGCTTCCTCTTGCTATTCTGAACAAAAGATTCAGCTTTGTCTTTCTATCCCAGACTCTGAGCAGTATTGGCATCACCTCTGGACAATTCTGGAGGTTCCACTGAGGTCATTTTGAAGACCCTCCACGGGAACCCTGGGCCACAATTGCATTCACTGGGCCCCAAACTCAGTTGCCCTTTGTGTCTGCAGCCAAGTGCATCAGTCTCAATAAGGATTTGAGTTCCACCTAGTTTCACTGGGCTTTTATTGCTCAATGTATTTTGTTATCCTAGGATTTGTGACCAACTATGTCCTTGGATAAGGTTGCAAGGTTGAGGTGTTTGTATCATGTAACTCGATCTTTGACTGAGAGATCTACCATTAGGTACTTGTCTTAGATCTATGTGTAAAGCTTTAAACCTCTTTCCATGAAGGTGTATCATTTGGCAAATATTGTCATGCCATTAATCTACTTATCCTATGGCCTCTTGCTTTGCTTGTGTGTTGTCTACATGTACAAAGTCTTGTTGCATGGGTTTTTGTTTTGTCCTGGAACTCTTTCTGTTGAATACAGAAGGAACTATTCTATAAGGCATTGGCTTGATAAGTTTCCAATCTAATTCAAGCTGGACCTGAGGGCTAATGATTTGAAGACCATTATTAGGCCAGTGACCAATTTATGAAAAAGCAATTGATCAAACTTTGCTTGGGGTCCCCTACAAAACTTTTATGAGGGCACTCCTGACTTGTCGACTTGTGAAAATATGTCACATTGCCCTATTGTTTTCCAGCTTAATGATAGTTGTGTGGACAATCATGTGTCCCCTTCTCCATCTGTTTGGTCCAGGATCCTGAGACACTATTCACAAGCACGAACTGTTGATCAACTACAGTTGCCTCTTCCTCGCGTGCCATGGTTTGCTTATGTCCAAATTTCAATCCTCTTTTTAAAGAATTTCTATTTCCTATTTAAAATTGCATTATGATCCTAACTCTTGCAATTTTCTTCACAAATGCCAAACTTTTTTTTCACTTGAAGAAAAACATCTGATGAATGAAAAATTAATAAGATATTTAGAAGAAGCTCTAGAAAAATTAGGAGACAAACATCAAATGGCTAAAAGTCAGCCTCTTTAATTGGTATTTTGAGGCCTTAAAACAAAATCCTAACCCTAAAATAGTCTCAAAGATGTTGTAACCTTCCCAAACCTGCCCTCTTTGCAGATCTCTATCTTGCATTTTTCTATTCAGCTTTATCTGACTTCCTAAATGAATCA